ATATGAAGGGGAAGTAAGAATGATTGGGGAATGATCACTTTTAAATGTAAAGCCCGGGGAGAAACAGACCAAGTGAAGTCTAATGCGGCGGGAAGAGCAAACTGAGGATCGATGCAAGAGAGGGGTATGAGTTCCGAGGACCCAAATGGGTGGGGAGTCCCTGTTATTTAAAACATGGAGGGGGTGGGTGGCAAGAAAAGCCTCTAACTGAATTCCACGGGAATCACATTTGAGACCCCCCCGGGAGGAAATGGTGGGCTTTAAAATCCCCAAGTAACAGAATCGGTGGGGGTTTAATGACGAAACAAGGAAAGGCAAATCCGGAATAGATAATGCCGAGAAGGAGAGAGATATAAAGAACAGAGGTTATACCACCTATGTAAGTGGATACGGGCTGCTGTTTTAATGCAGCGAAGTATGAACAAATAGCTGATGGTACGGATATCAGTGCGGAGAAGAAGGGCACTTTCATTAAAGGTCCCATCGGGGAAAAGGATCTGAAGAATAAAATAAATTATAGCCTGAGATGTGAGAAATAACAGCAGAAGTGTAATTTTGGTTCCTGTAAGCAAACACCAACGGGGGCAAACTGGGAGAGTAACATCTGAAGCTCACCCCGATTACCCCTGAGGCCGCGTATATTCCACTGTAAAAAGGCCATGTTTTGGAAATGATAAAGATACTTGAAATCCGCAGGTAAGGGTTCCTACGGACTAGAAGGGTTAGAAAAGTCCACATGCGGAGGCAGTGGAAAATGTTCAAGCAGCGAAGGAACGGTGCGCTGTGAAGAAAGGAGTTGCGCGATGGAGCAGAGGAGAGAGAAGAGCGGAAGGTGGATCAGTGTCCATTGATGGTTTGGTCTCTGCAAATATATTCAGAGATTGCTTCAAGTGTTTCGGAATTTCAGAGAGTCGTATGGGAGACAATTTGGGAATGGTAGGGGAGGATGAGTAAAGATTGGAACTGTATTGGACTGTACCAAGGTGGGGGGGGGGGAAAGGAGGGTGGAGGGAATGGAGAAGCGTGGCAGGGGACAGAAGAGACAGGAAACCCGGGAGGTGGCAGAAGAGGAAAAAAACTTGGGAGGGAACAGGGGAGGAAGGTACATTACGAGGAGGGAGGGTGAACCTCTGCACTTGTAACTGAGCCAGTGAGAGGGGAAGAACTAGGGACAGAGACAGGGAGGGTTAAAATGAGGGTGGAAGATGGGGAGGAGGTGTTACCGGACCCTTTTTTTTACTTTTGAGAAGTAGAGGGACGATTGGGAAGAGGTGTCGTACGAGGTCTCGTCGACACTGAGGCTTGTAAGAGAGAACTCGAAGAAGCGAGAAATTTGACTGAGGCGTTGAAGTAGGGACGTCTGGAGCGGGGGACAGCAAAGGATTAGATACAGGAGTGATTATGGGAGAGGTACCACAGAGGTGGGTGTTTGAAGATGGGATACCAGAAGTGGGGGGACGTTTTGAAAAAACGGGAATAAGAAACACGTGGGAGTCTCCCTTGGAGGTGGAGATGAGAAAAATGCATGGCATAGGGAGACCTTCTGTCTCTTTGGGTAACGGATTCCCCCCTCGTTTAAATAGACCTGACAACGGCGAGAGTACGAAGGGTGAGCCTCATGACAGTTAAGGCAAGAGGGAGATCGATTGCAAGAGTATTAGAATGGTCATCGGCACCACAGACTGGGCATTCGGCGATAGGGTCTGCATATTTCGCTGGTTTGGGCCCAAATCGCCAGCAATTTCTACACTGTTGTGGTTGTAGGGATCACCTTTCGAACTTGTAAACCCATTGGTCCTGCTAATTAAACTGAGGATGGGAGTTCTCGGCTGTCAAAAGTTAAACGAGCCACATTGCTAGGGTTTTCGTCTCCGCCCACGGGCAGGAAGAACGTAAGTGTTACCTTGAGGATTGGGGGATCTTGGAGTTCCAGCTGTTCTTGAATGTCGGTGCCCCATGTCTGGAAATTTTGTTGAACTATGGTATGGGGCAGAATGACGGTACCACTACAAGAATTTAGGGAATGATGTTTTCAAGGGTGACAGGAAAGTATCTATATGGGAAAGACGAGAGAGCTCACGAGCCTGGGTGCATTCTGTACGGTAATGATGGCGTACCGCTCTTAAGAAACTGAAAAGAAATATCTTTACCAACATGGCGTAGAAGTGCCCTTTCCAATACTATGGTCAGAAATAGGCAGTAGAAGTTGGTCGTTAAAGTGAAGAATTTAGTCCACTGTTCAGTTGAAAAAATGAGCGTGGAAAGGTTTGTGAAGGACGTGTCGATCGTTTCTGAGAAGAACGAGAAGGTGAAGGTGGAGAAGTATCATCAGCAGGTAATTGTCGTTGACGTTTAGGCGTGGGACCAGAGTTGGTCCGACGTGGAACGGGTCAGCGATTTGAAAATTGCCGACCGTGAGGGGAGGCCGGAGCATAGTCAGAGGAGAGCGAAGGTCTGATAAAAACGAAGGAGTCAGTCGAGGCCTCAGTTCCCGAAGCGGGTGAGGAAACAGCACCGGCAATAGGTACAGAGGCATGAGGAATGTCTGAAGAGTGGTCCAAAGACGAGGGGGGGTCAGAACGGGGTGCGGTATCAAGAAGGGGCCCGGGGGTACCAGGTTCATGGACTAGGGCTGCCCTGGTTAGGTTACTTCTTTCTTTTTGTTTTTAAGAAAAAAAAAGAAAGAAGGAAAGAAAATAAAAATAAAAAAAGAAAAAAAAAGGGGGGAATGGGGAGGGATAGTTCGTAGGGGAATGAAAGGGCCAGAAATCTCCCTCCGCGCCCCAAAAGGACCTCAGCACCCCAAGTAGCGCAGATGCAGCATGGGAACCGTGCCTACCCTACCCATCATGCTAGTAAACTAAAAAATCCGGGATTTGCAACCTACATCTGCCGAGCCCACCTCGGTGGACAAAAGAGAGGGTGGCAGGATATCCGCCACAAAGCATACCTCCTTCGGCCACCACCCCCGGAATCCGAAAGGTGGCTTCCAGAGATTCACTCGTCGCCCGAAAGGACACCCAAAGCTACTCCGGGATACCGGAGAGGGATCGGGACATCCCCAGGCGATCCAGATTCCACGGCAAACTACGCCACCGCTAAGAACCTCAACGGAATGGGATGGACCCCGGTATCCTTTCTCCTACCCAGGAACTAGCGCGCCTGTGGGAGAAATCCCAAAGGACAAAAAGAGGAAGGGCAAAAGGGAGGAGTGGGGAGGAGGAGGAGGAGGAAAGGAAAAAGGGGAGGATGGGATAGGGGAGGGGAGATTGGGGGGTAATTTAAGGTAAGTAATGTGTGCATTGTATATGCATTTTTTAGGCCTAGCTCCATTGCTCACTTATTTCCCTCAAGGGAAATTCTTTGATGCTGGTGAGGGGCTTTTGATCTAGGGAATTGTATCTGCTCCAGTTCCCTGAATTAACCCTTTGGGGGTGAGTCCCATAGTACTACGGCTTTGAAGTGTCTGTGCCATAGTTCTAGGCCATGAGCTCGGCCCACTCAGATGAGCTGTGAGCGGTAAATTTGGGCCTAGATATGAGAGAATGGGACCGTGCAGTAAGTGTGCACTATAAAAAAAAAAAAAATCCTGCAATACATAATGGGAAAAACTATGACGTTTAAAAGCTACTTTGCAGTGCTTTTTCTTATGGTTGTATTGTTTCTTGGTCTCATTTGATAGATTGGAAGATATGTTACAGAAATAGACATGATTTTAGTTGGTTTCAGGACTGAAAGTCACTTGAAATTGAGCTCAAAGTAGCAGAAATTTTCAATTTTTGCCGATATTCCAGAGTATGCAAATTACCTCGCTCGTCCAATATGCATAGGTTTAATGTGTTCACGAATGTGCTGACATTATTTATACAATTACAATAATGCCGTATTCTGCATAACAATCTTGTGTGTGTGTGGAAAAAAAAAATGGAAAAAGTGTAATGCAATAGAGGCCTGAGGACATGAGTAAGGAACAGAGGAAACACTTTAATGCCAGGAATATCTATGTATATTGTTTATTCTGGACCCTATTTTGAAATTGGCATTTTTTAACTGAAATTGGCCAAATTGCCAATTTATGATCGCTTGGGTAATTGAAATAGCACAAGAAACTGCCCATCTACCTAACTCGATAGCAGGAATACTAGTGAAATAGCCGAGTGTGATAGACTGGAACAATGAAACTGGCCGAAAATAGGGCTCAAAGTAGGTGAAATTGCCGATGCATAAATATTGCTAAGACCAATTTATAATGAAATTTCATACTTTTGGTTTCATTTCATGTTTTTTTTTTTTAATACTCCAACTTTGAGAGCAAGTTTCAGATTGAGTGTTCTGACCCTGAAAGGGTTATGCCTGAATGTCTTCCATCCCCCCTCCCCCATAGGTGCTGTATAATCTCTGCGTTTAGTGCTCCCCTTGATAAAAATAATGCTCACTTAAGGTGACAAAAGCCTTATAATATTTTTGCTCTATGTTCATTTGAAAGTAGAAAAAAAAAAAAAAAAGTTTCACTTTACAGCAGCATCCCAAAACTTAACCTACTGTGTGATGGGGGTTCACCTGTATTTGGAAAGAACCAAACTTGTACAGGTTATGGAGATTCACAATCCCGTGGCAGACTCGTATGGGTTATACAGCTTCACAGTCCCATGGCAGTATAATGATACCTCCCTGGGTGGTCACTAACCTACCATCATAAACATAACACTCCTCTAAATTACAGTAGTAAAATCTTTAGGGAGTGGGAGGCACACTGGTTCAATCCAAGGGAAGAACAGGCTCAATAATGCTATACTGTAGTTGAGAGAATAATTTCTAATAAAATTTGGGTACAATATTTTTGAAAATTGTTGGTTTCAAAAAAAACTTTAAATGATTATAATTTTATAAAAATAAAAGTTTTACAAAATTGCAACATGGATATATATTCACAATGATAATGAACTTGGGTTTGTTACCCATCACTTAGATTTTCTCTATGACAATCTGAAATAAGAAAAGGTGATAAATAATAATAGAAAGATATATACATCAATTTTGATATATACATTAATTAAAATTCAGTAACAAAGTTGATGAATGACAATGGGCTAAAAATAATCCTACTGGTAAAAAAAAAAGGCAGATGTAATGATTTTAGGATCTGAACACACATGCACTACTGAGATTCAAGAGTAACAAATTTCTTAAAACTACAAAAATTATACATGGAGCATTAATTCTAACCTGGGGGGAGGGGGGAATGCTAGGGGTGAAGCAGTACCTGGGAATAGAAGGCATAGATTTGATCCAGAGAAAAACTAAAGCTAATGTAACAGCCTTAGATTTCAACTTTTGATTATAATAATTTAGATTTCAAACACATGGAAACTGACTTGAGAAATTAGAAGCCCTCATGGGGTATTAGGAGCACATAGCACAAAGGCAAACAGTGGCAAAAGCCAACAGTGGAAAATACACTGGTAGTAGAGAAACCTTATACAACATTTTTTGCCCAAACTGGATATTTATCAAGGCCCAGCCTTGGGCAAAAAATTTTATTAAAAGGATTCTCTGCTACCAATGTCTTTGGAGAGCAAAACTAAGACAACAGTGAAAGTTCTTCAGCCAACATAAGGAGGCAATAAAACTTGACCTGGTTTTCACCTCAAATGCCCTTGAAAGGGGGTTGTCTTAATGCCAGTAGGGGATCTTGATCCAAAGAATTGATGGGCAATCTTTCCTTTCATTGGATTAAACCTGATTACCACCCTGTTCCCAAGTGCTATATAATCCATATAGGTTTAGCATCTCCCCATGAATATATTCATCCTAAAAGAATGTCAGAGGAGAAATCGACCTATGTGCCAGCCATCATGTGGTTCCAACTTCTGATACCCACTTGAAATGTCTGGTGAGGGAGTAATGGAGAAAGAACTATAAACATGAGAATTAGTGCAATGAGAAAGGAAACTTTTGTAATAGAGTATTGTGCATGAGAGAGAGAGGGGTAACAGACAAAATGTCCCAAGAAAAAAAAAATTCAAACCAATTTTGAAGACAATAAGGAAAAAAAGTGACCACAGTTCAACCAGGAATGCAGAGAACCCAACTGAAGATGTAGGTAAACATGAAAAAAAAATTAAAGATGTTAAAAAGTGCAGAAAATGGGAGGAATCGCCAAAGGAGCTACAAATGAACGAGACGCAGACAGGGCAAGAGACAGCTTGAAAACGGCATCAAGGTCCAAAACTGAACCAGAGTTCCTCCATAGCTTTGCGAGGAGGGAAATGACTTACAATAGACCATCGGATAACGTGTGATCTGTTAACATGTCTGTAAACGCATTTTGCAAAGTTGTGGCATATTTTTGGTGTACACCATAAAAATCTTTAGTGGTGTACATGCAGGGAAAAATGTGGTACATGACAGTCTTTCACCTCCACCTCACAATGACCTCAGGCAAGTCCACTGTCAACAGGAGCATGCAGGCTACTGCATGGGAGTGAGAGAGCTAGTGGGTGGGAGCATGCTAGCTAGTGACTGAGGACAAGGTGCTGGGTGAATGAAGGTCACACATGATAATTTATACTACATGACAGTTATACAGAGCACAAATAAAATCTGATCTACTGGAATTCAAACATTTAAAGAAAAATGAATAGTGAGTAAAGACAGTCTATGACAAGAATACAACCAAAAAGTAACTGCAAAGAAAGAGGTTAGGAGAATACAGTATTACTATACAACAATGAACTGTAAAACTGGACATTGTTATTTTTACATTACAAATATAAAACGTTAATATCTACTACATTATAATATAAAAAGAGAATGCAGCTGAAGAAATGTTTATACGTTATCAAGAGGAAAAAATGTTAGTACAGTATTTTATAACAGTAACACTAACCCATCGCCACTGAATTCCTAAACGTGTATCCAAATTTGTATTTTATTTCATTTTAATCACAAATTAGATCAAAAATTTTAAAACCTTTTCAGTTACAAATATAGTTAGTTTTGTATAAACAAACATTTCTTAAACTTGCTTTTATATAACCGATTTCCCAAACAAGAGATAATAAATATTATATACAGCAATGTACAAGAGACATGCTCATATACTGCAGTGCAATGTAATAGGTCAAAAGCTAAAATTCAGCAGAAAATCCATTAAACTATTTTCCCAAACTGTACACTTCCCTACCAGCTTACAACTATTCACAATATTAAGGCTAAAGCAATAAAGCTTATGTAACGTATAAAGCTTCATATATATCATGACAACAAAGTGACGACAGTATAAATACACACTTTGGTACAGTACGAAGATAAACATACCCCTTGAAAGAATTGTTTGCTTATGCATGAAATTATAATTTTAAAATTAAACTAAAAAAAACTAATTCATTATGGAAGAAAAAATGGAAACATCTGTTTGTATACAGTAGTGTGTGCTAAATTCATCTTCTCAATGCAAGAGTGACAATGCATAACAAACAATTTAAAAAAAGCAACAGAGTGAAATATACTGAGTGCATACATTGATAAAAAGCAGGTCAAGTCTTTTTCCCTTACTTGTAGGAGGTTAGAGAGCACAGTTATAACTAAGAAACAAATGATTCTGTCAAGAGGACAACTATATTAATGTTTTCCTCTGCAATTACTGATACACAAATATATATACATTTTATAGACTGCATTACCATCCACACGAAGCCTTGTTTAAATTATACACTAAGACAGTCTCTACACCATCAATTCCTTTAATGCACAAGACCATAAGAAGCAATAAGATCCCCAACAACATTTTAGTGCTTTGTAGCGAAGCTCCATGGCAGGTGCGACTCTGAACTAGTCACCTTACGATGGGGAGGAGGTCTGTTAGTTGGAGCTTGAGAAAGTGCATCCAAAGAGCTCATATTAATGTTAGGGAGGTTAAGGCGGGTCATTAAGGGATTCAGTTCATTCTCATCATTGGCTACTGTTACCTGCTCCCACTGACGACTGGCTGATGACAGTTTGATGGCATCGATGACGGCTTGAACGTACTGACCATCCTCAAATGTGGCTGCGCTAGACACAGGCTCTTTCAGCCAACCATGCTCCCCATCTCCTGTTGCAAATGCTTCTTTGAGAGCTCCAACCAACCTGAAGAGTCCTTGAAGGTAAGGCTGTGGTAAGAGAGAGTTGATTCTTGCACTATTGTTCTTATTTGTGAGGTGAGCCACATCATCTGGGCCCTCATGAAGTAGCTCCTCCTTCTCAGTAGTGTGGTTCTGACCATAGAGATTCGCTCCATGGACAACTAATCTGCCCTGGCTGCCACACACAACTACTTCTTGAATAAAACCTCCTGACATGTGACTGTTAAGAGTAGCCGTTACACAGGCTCCACCATCTAAGATCATTTGGAAGCTACAAAAGTCATCACTATCAATCCATCTGATTCCGTTGATTTTCTCAGTGCTTTTTGTGAAAGTGCGCATCATGCCATGAACACGGTTAGCTCTCTGTCCAGTAACAAATGAAACAATGTCAATTATGTGACTGCCAACCATCGTTAGGATTCCCCCACCCATCAAATGACTGCACATCCAATCAAACTGATTCCCAATCATGCTACCACAATGTACTCTTACATCGCAGACATTGACCATGCCTACATAACCTGTCTCAATCTGCCGTTTCATATGTACAAATGCTGGAAGAAATCGAAGCCCATGGGATATGACGGAAATGAGCGATGGGTAGTACTGAGCAGCATGCACCATCTTCAACACCTCAAGCTGAAAAAGGATTATATATAGTATTAATATGCTGAGATCACCAAAACTGGTAACAAAATCAGTGCCATTTAATAATCAATTTATGGAACTTTTCTCCTAGCTTTTGCATTAAAAGTTGGCATAACTGCCCATTTTTTTTCTAGGAAAACCCAGCCCACCTGATTTCTTCAATGTTTAAAAAAACTTGCATAAAAATGGGTAACAGTAAGTTTTTTTTATGTCTGAATACCCTCGGGCTACTACTAGATGGCAACTGGCTTCTTTTATACCTGATAAAGATTTAAAAGCATCTAAGAATGAGACAACTGTGTTTATTAAGTAACACACATTTTAAATAAATATAGGATTCTTTTTATAGGTAGTAAGTTGGTAGACAGCAACCACCCAGGGAGGTACTACCGTCCTGCCAAGTGAGTGTAAAACGAAAGCCTGTAATTGTTTTACATGATGGCAGCATTGCTGGTGTCCTTTTTTTCTGTCTCATAAACATGCAAGATTTCAGGTACGTCTTGCTACTTCTACTTACACTTAGGTCACACTACACATACATGTACAAGCATATATATATACACCCCTCTGGGTTTTCTGCTATTTTCTTTCTAGTTCTTGTTCTTGTTTATTTCCTCTTATCTCCATGGGGAAGTGGAGCAGAGTTCTTCCCCCGTGAGCCATGCGTGTCGTAGGAGGTGACTAGAATGCTGAGAGCAAGGGGCTAGTAACCCCTTCTCCTGTATATATTACTAAATGTAAAAGGAGAAACTTTCGTTTTTCCTTTTGGGCCACCCCGCCTCGGTGGGATACGGCCAATGTGTTGAAAGAAAGATAGGATTCTTTTAACTTGTTGGAATATGTTGTGCTTACTCTATTCAAGCATCAGTACAAATCTCTCAAGAGCTAAATGCACTGTAGTCAGTTGGTTTCCAGTAAAGAGAAGACTGTAAACAGTGTGTAGTTAAAGCACAGATGTACTTGTGTTTGGCAACTTAGAAATATCTGATGTGGAGAAAATATATGTTCATGGACCTCCAGGCCCCTAGCCAGAATGTCATAGTTCTTTACAGTTATGAGGTTAGTGGTATATGTTATAGTATCATAGAATGGGAAATGACTTACTACCTACAGGACAATACCTGGAGTTTACCTGGAGAGAGTTCCGGGGGTCAACACCCCCGCGGCCCGGTCTGTGACCAGGCCTCCTGGTGGATCAGAGCCTGATCAACCAGGCTGTTACTGCTGGCTGCACGTAAACCAACGTACGAGCCACAGCCCGGCTGGTCAGGAACCGACTTTAGGTGCTTGTCCAGTGCCAGCTTGAAGACTGCCAGGGGTAAATAAATAACAAAAAGGCACAATACCGTGACTGGAACGATACACAAATAACCCGCACATAAAAGACAGAAGCTTACGACGACGTTTCGGTCCGACTTGGACCATTGACAAAGTGTGACTTTGTCAATGGTCCAAGTCGGACCGAAACGTCGTCGTAAGCTTCTGTCTTTTATGTGCGGGTTATTTGTGTACTGCCAGGGGTCTGTTGGTAATCCCCCTTATGTATGCTGGAAGGCAGTTGAACAGTCTCGGGCCCCTGACACTTATTGTATGGTCTCTTAACGTGCTAGTGACACCCCTGCTTTTCATTGGGGGGATGTTGCATCGTCTGCCAAGTCTTTCACTTTCGTAGCGAGTGATTTTCGTGTGCAAGTTCGGTACTAGTCCCTCTAGGATTTTCCAGGTGTATAAAATCATGTATCTCTCCCGCCTGCGTTCCAGGGAATACAGGTTTAGGAACTTCAAGCGCTCCCAGTAATTGAGGTGTTTTATCTCCGTTATGCGTGCCGTGAAGGTTCTCTGTACATTTTCTAGGTCAGCAATTTCACCTGCCTTGTAAGGTGCTGTTAGTGTGCAGCAATATTCCAGCCTAGATAGAACAAGTGACCTGAAGAGTGTCATGAGCTTGGCCTCCCTAGTTTTGAAGGTTCTCATTATCCATCCTGTCATTTTTCTAGCAGATGCGATTGATACAATGTTATGGTCCTTGAAGATGAGATCCTCCGACACGATCACTCCCAGGTCTTTGACGTTGGTGTTTCGCTCTATTTTGTGGCCAGAATTTGTTTTGTACTCTGATGAAGATTTAATTTCCTCGTGTTTACCATGTGTGAGTAATTGAAATTTCTCATCGTTGAACTTCATATTGTTTTCTGCAGCCCACTGAAAGATTTGGTTGATGTCTGCCTGGAGCCTTGCAGTGTCTGCAATGGAAGACACTGTCATGCAGATTCGGGTGTCATCTGCAAAGGAAGACACGGTGCTGTGGCTGACATCCTTGTCTATGTCAGATATGAGGATGAGGAACAAGATGGGAGAGTGTACTGTGCCTTGTGGAACAGAGCTTTTCACCGTAGCTGCCTCGGACTTTACTCTGTTGACTACTACTCTCTGTGTTCTGTTAGTGAGGAAATTATAGATCCATCGACCGACTTTTCCTGTTATCCCTTTAGCACGCATTTTGTGCGCTATTACGCCATGGTCACACTTGTCGAAGGCTTTTGCAAAGTCTGTATATATTACATCTGCATTCTTTTTGTCTTCCAGTGCATCTAGGACCTTGTCGTAGTGATCCAATAGTTGAGACAGACAGGAGCGACCTGTTCTAAACCCATGTTGCCCTGGGTTGTGTAATTGATGGGTTTCTAGATGGGTGGTGATCTTGCTTCTTAGGACCCTTTCAAAGATTTTTATGATATGGGATGTAGTGCTATCGGTCTGTAGTTCTTTGCTGTTGCTTTACTGCCCCCTTTGTGGAGTGGGGCTATGTCTGTTGTTTTTAGTAACTGTGGGACGACCCCCGTGTCCATGCTCCCTCTCCATAGGATGGTAAAAGCTCGTGATAGGGGCTTCTTGCAGTTCTTGATGAACACGGAGTTCCATGAGTCTGGCCCTGGGGCAGAGTGCATGGGCATGTCATTTATCGCCTGTTCAAAGTCCTTTGGCGTCAGGATAACATCAGATAGGCTTGTGTTAACCAAATTCTGTGGCTCTCTCATAAAAAATTCATCTTGATCTTCGACTCTCAGTCTGGTTAGAGGCTTGCTAAAAACTGAGTCATACTGGGACTTGAGTAGCTCACTCATTTCCTTGCTGTCATCTGTGTAGGACCCATCTTGTTTAAGTAGGGGCCCAATACTGGACGTTGTTCTCGACTTTGATTTGGCATAGGAGAAGAAATACTTTGGGTTTCTTTCGATTTCATTTATGGCTTTTAGTTCTTCCCGCGATTCCTGACTCCTATAAGATTCCTTTAGCTTAATTTCGATGCTTGCTATTTCTCTGACCAGCGTCTCCCTACACATTTCAGATATATTGACCTCTTTTAGCCGCTCTGTTATTATTTTCCGTCGCCTGTAAAGGGAGCGCCTGTCTCTTTCTATTTTACATCTACTCCTCCTTTTTCTTAGAGAAATAAGCCTTGTGCATACATCGAGTGCCACCAAGTTAATCTGTTCTAGGCATAGGTTGGGGTCTGTGTTGCTTAGTATATCTTCCCAGCTTATATCAGTTAGGATTTGCTTTACTTGGTCCCACTTTTTGTTTTTGTTATTGAAGTTGAATTTGGTGAATGCTCCCACGTGACTAATCTCATTATGTCAGTCTGGGGCTCCGCGCATACATGTCTGAACCTCAATTATGTTGTGATCTGAGTATATTGTTTTTGATATGGTGACATTTCTTATCAGATCATCATTGTTAGTGAAGATGAGGTCTAGTGTATTCTCCAGTCTAGTAGGCTCTATTATTTGCTGGTTTAAATTGAATTTTGTGCAGAGATTTAAAAGCTCGTGTGAGTGTGAGTTTTCATCAGAACTGCCTCCTGGTGTTATTACTGCAACAATATTATTTGCTATATTCCTCCATTTTAGGTGCCTTAAGTTGAAATATCCCAGGAGCAAGATGTTGGGTGCAGGAGCTGGAAGATTTTCCAGACAGTGGTCAATTTTTAACAGCTGTTCCTGGAATTGCTGGGATGTTGCATCCAGAGGCTTGTAGACTACCACAATGACTAGGTTTGGTTCTCGATCTTTACTGCTAAAACTTCCACTACATCATTTGAGGCATTAAGCAGTTCTGTGCAAACAAGTGACTCTGCAATGTACAGGCCAACCCCCCCCCCCTTTTGCCTGTTCACTCTGTCACATCTGTATAGGTTGTAACCTGGGATCCATATTTCGTTGTCCAAGTGATCCTTTATGTGGGTCTCAGTGAAAGCCGCGAACATTGCCTTTGCCTCTGCAAGCAGTCCACGGATGAAAGGTATTTTGTTTGTTGCTGGCTTTAGACCCTGTATATTTGCAAAGAAGAATGTCATCGGACTGGTGGTATTGTTGGTACTGGGGGGAGATTTTTTTTCCAGCATTAGTATCTGTATCTGTTGGTTTGGAGTGGAGGCCATCGACTGTGGTTCCACTCCAGGAATGACTGGATTTGGTGTATGATTTCTGCCATTTCCTGCGAGTTTTTTTTCCTTCCTGGCACTAAAAAACCTCTCCCTCTTGAGTGGCTGTGGCTACCCAGGTTTTCCCATGGCCTGGATGTTTTGTATCTTTTTGTCCCCTTTAGATGGTGTGCCTGGCAATTTAAGTTATAGCACAGTCTTTCCTGTACTGAAGAGGTACACATTTCAGGGTGAAAAAGCTTACAGGAAGGGAGTTTGCATTTTCCTGTTGTCATATGGGCACGGCATTTTCTAGGGTGGTTATAGTTGCACGTCCCGTCTGTTTTTCCAGATTTCCCATGTCTGCAGATACCAAGTGCATAGTATGTGCACAGGCTTGGTTTCTGTTTGCCTTGGGTTTCTGTGACTGTATTCCCTGTCGGTGCATGTTTACCTGTCTTATTCCTATCCTCCCTAGCACCAACAATGGAGCTCCCACCAGTTGTTTTTGGTAATATATCCTCACTATTGCTAGTGGAGTCCTCTTGTTTGCTATTTCCTGTGGTATTTCTAGTTTGCAATATTGGTTTTATCTTATCTTTGACTACACTTGTTTCCCCACTACGGCTCCTGTCCCCTATGAGGTCATTTATATGTATTCCTTCCTGCATATAATTCCCGACTACCTGGACAAAATCTCCAGCTTCACCATTACTGTCTCCCAGGACAGCACCTCCAGCTTCACCATTACTGTCTCCCAGGACAGCACCTCCAGCTTCACCATTACTGTCTCCCACGACAGCACCTCCAGCTTCACCATTACTGTCTCCCAGGACAGCACCTCCAGCTTCACTATTACTGTCTCCCAGGACAACACTATCAGCCCCACATTTACTGACTACCAGGACATCACCTCCAGCCTTACAGTTTCTGACTACATGGCCAGTATCAAGGGCAGTACCATTCAGCCCAGACTTTTTATGTTCCCATCTGTTGTAGAATGCTTCCAGGTTGTCTATGAAAGCAGCTTTGATGTTATCCTCTTTTAATACCAATGTGATTTTAGTCCACAGATTTATCTCATTTGGGCATACCCAAAAACACTTCCTTGTTTTAATACTACTTGTAGCTAGTTCTTGGATATCTGCACAAGGGGCGTGACACCAATTTCCACAAAAATGACAATTTATTCATGTGGAAGCCCGTTTGTTTGATTGACTGCAGACTACACAGAGCTTCATAACAATTTGAATGGTTGATTTACTGTAATTCTACTAGCAACCTCTTGAATACTCTATTAATAACCTCCTTAAATGAAGCTCTAGCTATTTGTATTTCTATTTCTAACTGTACTTGTATATTGGACAGCTTACCATGTACGTTCCTGATTTATATTTATTGTTTGTGTTTGATAAGGGCGCCTACAACCCCATCCGTTTACAGTCTGCTTTACTGTCCAACGACAATAGGGAACAATATTTAATACTAAAATTTGTTATTTGCTAATAAGAACAGTTTCTTCTATTTTTTATATGCACATTGCCAAATTTTTCTGTTCCATAATATAAATATAAATTACTACTGACCAGAACTTTTCAAGCCCTACATAAATAAACTGATAATTATGACTGACTTTAATTGGAAATTCTACATATGGTAGACCCCTGGTTTTTGTAATTAATCCGTTCCAGAAGGTTGGCTGAAATCCAAAATGGCCATAAATCGAAGTAATATTTCCCATAAGAAATAACGTAAATCCAATTAATCCATTTCGGACACCCAAAAATATTAAAAAATACATTTTATGGAGAATAACTATAGCTTTACAGACAGAAAAAATGAGAAATAAATATAAATGACTAATTTTAATGATAAATGAACATTACATACCTTTAATGAAGACTCTTGTTGATGAGTAATATTTATTTGTAGTCCCAGGCAGACTACATTCCAGTGTATACCTACCGGCTACAAACACTGCAGCCTACAGCCATATTATTACCATCAACATACCATGTTCACCGAGTTTAATCGTTTCTAACAACTACCTTTAGATGCCATCATAAACAAAGGGAGAAGTAATGAATAATTCATGCCAAGAATTGTAAACAAAAGCTTATGTATAAAGGGCGGTTACTAGGCCAACGCAGGTTCATATAGTTTTCTCTAACGCTGGACCAGAGAAAACGTGATGTTTCCTCCACCGCTATGTAACATGTTTCTTACATAATTTTGAAGAAAATATCATAGATGGATTAGTGAAAATGTCTATATTAATGTAAAATAACACATTTAATGTGCCTAAGAGTGATTATTATTATGTACTATTAGTATTATTATGGCATTAAGACTTGAGGGACACTGAGTGAATGAGTAACAAAGGCATGTTTATATGCTATGTAACGTGTTTCTTACATAATTTTGAAGAAAATATCATAGATGGATTAATGAAAATGTCCATATATTAATGTGCCCAAGAGTACGTCACGAACGTATGGACGGCCCAGGCGCACGCATCTGGTACCAACAATTTCCTAGGGGATGTACGAAACCTGGAGGTAAATTTTGCCGAAAAGTGCTCGAAATCCGAATTCTACAATTTCTGCACCAGCAGAAAACCGGGGATCCACTGTATTTTCTTACATAAATACAGTCAAAAATTTAACCCCTAAACTGTCCAAACGTAGATCTACGTTTGATCGCGTAGCACTCTGAACGTAGATCTACTTTTTTTTTACATGCTTTCAAATGGGTATAATCAATGTTGGAGCTCTACACGTGTAAACTTAGAACTACGTTTGGACATTTTAAGGGTTAAAAACCCAACTGGGTGGGTAATTTTTTTTTTTTTCCATTTTTAAGCCCAGGTGTGAAAAAAAAAGTGCATTACCTATTTCTGTATCAACCTTGCATTTGACAAAGGGGACAATTTTAGAAAAAAAAAAACCATCATGTTTGCTATCAAGAGTTGGACGACATTCTTTCATTAATAAAAGAAGTATTCATTAACCTCTGCAACTCTTAAATGTGCGACTTTATTACAGTTATTACCCCCATCGTTTGAACCAATCAAGAAGCCTGTACTTTATGAGACAATTAAAATAGTACATGCAGCATCAAAATATTATAGGGATATCTTATTCTTAGACCTCTGTACTTTTTCTCAATATGCATGGAAAATGATGCATATTTGGCAAAATTAATGCATTTTTATTATTATAATCATACTATTTAAATGTTAAACCCACAAGGATAATGCATTTTTACAGGACTGATTCTGCATTAAGTAATACATTTAATCCATGCAGGATGGACTGAAACATCATCCAAATTTAATCTCCATCTGTGGGTTATGAACTGTTCCAGCCACAATATGACTTTTATTCTTTATACAATACAAGCAAACCTACTTTGTCTTTGTCTTTTTACTGGTGAATTTATTTGCTTCAACATTACTTACCTGACAAAGGCCAGCTGGTCTGTCACACAGAACATGCTTGCCAATACCAAGAGCTTTCACAGCAATTTGAGCATGAAGGTCTGGCTGGCAAATGATAAACACCAAGTCCACATCTTTTCTCAACAGCACATCATCCACCTGAATTAATAATTAATAGGAAACTCAAACAAAGTGAAGTATAAGTTTATGAAAGCATCCATCATTTGAAATGAAAGAATATTCTTAATTATTAAGAAAATAAATTTACACAAAAGATATCATACTCCTATTTAAAAGTTCTAAATCCCAATGTTTTCTATTAAAAATAAAACTACCAAATAACAGCCTAAGTTGCATGTATTTCCTGAGATGTGACACTCACAAACCTTCCATTAGTCCAGTGACTTTTGAACCTGAATGGTTATACCTTTGATGAGTTTCAAGAGTTTTTCTATTTCCAGAGCTCAGCTTTGGGCCAGACTTGTAAATTAACATAGCCTAAAATCTACTGTATTATGTTAACTCAACAACAACAGCATAATTCTTTCATATGCTCCATATTACAGGTAAGAAATGAATCCGGAATTATGGAATCCCAACATTTATGTAATCCTGGACACGAGTTTAGAACAAGATGCTCTCACCTCTTGCAACTGCTACACCACAGCATGGTTTTAGATGTACTGGAAGACAGACAAAATGCAAAAAGTACACAGGCTTTGAAAAAGTCTTTATCAAGTGTGATCATGATATACAGTAATATTATACAAATGCAAAAGGAATACTTTAGCTGTTGATGACCTATTAACTTTTTTGTATGAACAACTATGCAATTTCAAGTTACCAATGCCTTTGTCTGCCAACTGTGAACTCATTAAGCTCTGTATTATTGATGCCAAGTTTGTTTAATGAAGAGGTCTATACCCAGAAGTTTTGTATAGCAATAGGAAAACCCCTATACTCAAGTTTTTAGTAACATATGCAGTACATGACAATATTTGAAACAACACTGCTAAGCAGAATTCACTCCCAAAATAATGCATTAGATTTAGTACAGATTTGAATGCTCAGTTTACTCGTGCAAGAAATCTTAGTCACTGTGCTTTGGCAGGAGATGGCTGTTGAGGTAAAAAAAAAAATACATCTTAATCATCAAGTTGACTGGTTAAAACTATGAAAAATTACCTACAAATCACTGATTGAATAAAGTACACCTACCATCCAACTTACGACGTGCTCGACATACGACCACTCGACTTACGACCATGTTTTGTATACCAAATTTCTGGGAAGTAAACAACTGTTTGTGTTGTACACAGTGTTTATCCTAAACCTTACAGTATAAAATACAGTGCTAACAGCATAAAAAGTAAAGTAAAAAATGAAATACCAAAATAAAACAATATAATAAAATCATTACAAGAATGTGATGTAGATATTCAGTAGTAAGATTCGACTTAAGTCCATTTTGACTCATGACTGGCTGGTCAGAACCAAGCTTGGTCGTAAGTCGGATGGTACCTGTAAAATACAGGTATATAAAAGATAGTGCTGTGTGTAATCTGAACGTAAGTCTAGGACTTTATAAGCTGGATGCATTCATCATTAAAACAAAGCAGTGAAATAATTGTCATTACATTCATAGGCTGTATGACCCTTATGGGTTTAGCATTTAGTTTTGATTGTAATAATTATAATAACTAGGCTGTGATGGATATGTGGGACAGCAGGCATTCTTTAGCAACAGCCTGGTTGACCAGGCTAGCACTAGATGAGCCTGGCCCATGGCCGGGCTCTGAGAGTAGTAAAACTCAAAACTCATCAAAGGTAAGGTATACATTCATGGAAAGCAATAAACCTGTAGGGCTCATATCACACCTGGGAGTGGGAAGTAATCAGGATCAATTCAAGGAATTGGAGGTTAACTCCTATTCCTGGGATCAAGGTCCCTACCCTAGCATCAGGTATTCCCCATGAAAGGTAAATCATTGAACTTCAGGCTATGTCAGCAGACCCGTTTTCCCAGTAATGAAACCCTAACAAATGAGGAATGCTTACAGAACACTTGCCTTGTTTGTATGGAATGGAATGTTGAGTTCTGTTGCAACATTTTCCGCTGCTTCTAACGTGCGCCCCCAAACTGCCTCAACTCGGAATCCTTTTGCTCTGAGGAATGGCACTAGAGCTCTTACAATGTCTCCAGTGCCAAACACCCCAATTCCCGGAAGCATTGCTTTCAGTCTGAAAAATCCAAAAGTTATTGAATCTGAAGAACTTATTCAAGATAATGCTGCATAATAGTATTACAAATACAAAATATTGTACTAATAAGTCTATAAACACCAAGAAAAAAGTATTATAAAGGTGTCACTATAAATTCATAGGCATTAATATTTAAACTGAAGCAGAAATTGTCTAAGAGTTGGGCTAGTTAAGTAGAGCCTACACCAAGTTATATCAATTTATCCTAAACTAATCCATATTAACCAAAAACCTATTATAAAAACAAAACATTATAAAAACAGCATTATTAAAAAAATACCATTCAATATCTAAAATGTGCTAAAGTTTGTGGTATCAGCTCAAGTATGTCTAGAACCATTGCCTGAGCAGTACTGTACCATTACTTTTTGTGACTTTTAGTGCATGGTAGGACTCTCATTGCACAAACATTTCCTGTAACATCATAGTGCTGGTGTAGAAGATAAGAGTAATGTGAGATTCTGTTACATTAGTTAGGCCTGGTTAAGTCTGATTTCTTAAAACATTTCTAATGTACAGTACAATGAAAATAGTGGCCAGTATTATTTTTGTGATACACTACCGTGAAAAATGTCAACCATGTTTCGTTCTTATGATACTGTATTTGTTCTTAAACAAACTAGTATTTCCATAAAGTGGCATACAACTAGGGTAACTGACATGTATAAACCACTTTATAGAAAGCCCCTTTTTATGCAGATCATTTTGGCAGCCTTAAAACTAACTTAAAATTACTAAACAATGAGACACACACAGTACATAGTACATAAAAATAAGAGTACACATTTAGTTTACATTATACTGAAGGTATCCAATAATTTAATAAAAAATGCTAATAAAGATACACATACATACATATGAACTCAGATTAAGTCATAATAAATGACTCAATGAATAAGGAGAAAGATGGATGAGAGTGACAAGTCCAGGCTCTACTGCTTTGGCTAGGGTCTTCTAATAGGGAAGATCTGGAAACATACAAAAGTACTGTTTTCGAATCTTCCCTATTAGAAGCCACGTAGCTGAAGTGGAACAGCATGCGTACAATGTGCGTGTATATGTGCAGAGTGCATGCAAAATACATACAGCAATACTAATTTACCATTTATTTATTTATTTATTTATTAATTTGAACATGATACAGAGAAGTACAAGGAATACAATTTTTAAAGTGCAGCATGCCAAAGCCCCTTGTATGCAGAGCATTATGGGCAGGCTTAAAATTAACTTAAGATTAACTAAACAATGATATATTCAGTGGTACAAAAATTATTGTAAAACAGATAACAATTTAGTACAAATGAGTATTACAAAGACAGGTCATATGGTCATTTACTGTGTTGCTGTGTAATCAGTAGAATGGTAATGAAGTTAAATAGTAATAAAGTTTGATTGGGCCACAGATTGACATTTATGATGATTTAAAGTAGACTAAATATCAATTAATCAATGTAAAAACTACCAGTTGTTGTTATTATTGGGGGAGGGGTTAAAAAAAAAAAAAAAGCTAGCACAGCTGACACTAGTATGAAGCCTCATCTAGTGGAGTCCAGGAGAAAACACAGCTTAAATTTAGACAGTGAATGGAAAGGGAAGAAAGGATCCCATCAGTAATGGAAACAGGAAAATACATTTACAATTAGGTCAGGTGAAGGCAAACACCTCATAATGGGGATGAGCCAGACGATCACACCTTAAGGCCGAGCCAGACGACCACACCCTGGGGTCGAACCAGATGACCACACCCTGGGGGTCGAGCCAGACGACCACACCCTGGGGTCGAGCCAGACAACCATACCCTGGGGGTCGAGCCAGACGACCACATTCTGGGGTCAGGCCAGACAACCACATCCTGGGGTTGGGCCAGACCACCACACCCTGGGGTCGGGCCAGACCACCACACCCTGGGGTCGAGCCAGACGACCACACCCTGGGGTCGAGCCAGACGACCACACCCTGGGGTCGAGCCAGACAACCATACCCTGGGGGTCGAGCCAGATGACATCCTGGGGTCGAGCCAGACGACCACACCCTGGGGTTCGAGCCAGACGACCACATCCTGGGGTCAAGCCAGACGACCACACCCTGGGGGTCGAGCAGACGACCACATTCTGGGGTCAGGCCAGACAACCACATCCTGGGGTTTTTGGGCCAGCACCACACCCTGGGGTTGGGGCCCAAAGACCACCACACCCCTGGGGCCGAGCCAGACGCCCCACACCCTGGGGTTGAGCCAGACAACCATACCCTGAGGGTCGAGCCAGATGACATCCTGGGGTCGAGCCAGATGACCACACCCTGGGAGTCGAGCCAGACGACCACATCCTGGGGTCGAGCCAGACGACCACACCCGGGGGGTCGAGCCAGACGACCACATCCTGGGGTCGAGCCAGACAACCACACCCTGGGGTCGAGCCAGACAACCACACCCTGGGGTCAAACCAGACAACCACACCCTGGGGTCAAACCAGACAACCACACCCTGGGGTCAAACCAGACAACCACACCCTGGGGTCAAACCAGACGACCACACCCTGGGGTCGAGCCAGACAACCACACCCTGGGGTCGAGCCAGACAACCACACCCTGGGGTCGAGCCAGACAACCACACCCTGGGTCGAGCCAGAAACCACAACCCGGGGGTCGAGCCAGACAACCACACCCTGGGGTCGAGCCAGACAACCACACCCTGGGGTCGAGCCAGACAACCACACCCTGGGGTCGAGCCAGACAACCACATCCTGGGGTTGGGCCAGACGACCACACCCTGGGGTCGGGCCAGACCACCACACCCTGGGGCCGAGCCAGACGACCACACCCTGGGGTTGAGCCAGACAACCATACCCTGAGGGTCGAGCCAGATGACATCCTGGGGTCGAGCCAGATGACCACACCCTGGGAGTCGAGCCAGACGACCACATCCTGGGGTCGAGCCAGACGACCACACCCTGGGGGTCGAGCCAGACGACCACATCCTGGGGTCGAGCCAGACAACCACACCCTGGGGTCGAGCCAGACAACCACACCCTGGGGTCAAACCAGACAACCACACCCTGGGGTCAAACCAGACAACCACACCCTGGGGTCAAACCAGACAACCACACCCTGGGGTCAAACCAGACGACCACACCCTGGGGTCGAGCCAGACAACCACACCCTGGGGTCGAGCCAGACAACCACACCCTGGGGTCGAGCCAGACAACCACACCCTGGGGTCGAGCCAGACAACCACACCCTGGGGTCGAGCCAGACAACCACACCCTGGGGTCGAGCCAGACAACCACACCCTGGGGTCGAGCCAGACAACCACACCCTGGGGCCCGAGCCAACAACCAAAACCCGGGGGTCGAGCCAACAACCACACCCTGGGGTCGAGCCAGACCAACCACAACCCTGGGGTCGAGCCAGACAACCACACCCTGGGGTCGAGCCAGACAACCACACCCTGGGGTCGAGCCAGACAACCACACCCTGGGGTCGAGCCAGACAACCACACCCTGGGGTCGAGCCAGACAACCACACCCTGGGGTCAAACCAGACGACCACACCCTGGGGTCGAGCCAGACAACCACACCCTGGGGTCAAACCAGACAACCACACCCTGGGGTCGAGCCAGACAACCACACCCTGGGGTCGAGCCAGACAACCACACCCTGGGGTCGAGCCAGACGACCACACCCTGGGGTCGAGCCAGACGACCACACCCTGGGGTCGAGCCAGACGACCACACCCTGGGGTCGAGCCAGACGACCACACCCTGGGGTCAAACCAGACGACCACACCCTGAGTCAAGGTCCAGCCCTCTCAATCATACATTATTACATTCAGGGAAGCACTAAAACCACATCCATCACATGGATTTTGGTATAAAATGAGCTAATTAAAGTATATCTGAGGAAGGAAAGGGTAGTTCCAATTTCTGGGAGCAAGAAAGAAAGGGCAAGAGCCCTCCACCACATTTATTCCCCCTACCTAATAACAGCCTCAGTTGAAGGCCCAACCGCGAGGTAGAAACTGATGAAATGGGGCTTTTGACCAGGTGTTCAGCCAGGGAATTAGGTAAATCTGTCACGTATGCCCAGTGGACACCGTGTTCACACTATCAAGACTGACACAAGACTTACCTTCCTGTTTATTGTTTGACAAAGGCTGCTGGAGCCTGAGTCG